AAAAAAAAAAAAAAAAAAAAAAAAAAAAAAAAAAAAAAAAAAAAAAAAAAAAAAAAAAAAAAAAAAAAAAAAAAAAAAAAAAAAAAAAAAAAAAAAAAAAAAAAAAAAAAAAAAAAAAAAAAAAAAAGAGACAGAAAGTACACTTTTAAGCTTTTCTAGGCTAAAATGTAAGCTTAATTTTGAATTTAAAAATTTAATTTTATTAACTGATACATGTTTTTATGTCGTTCAAAGTGTAAAACTCATATTGCTAAAATGTTTAGTTAAGCCATTTCAATTCTAAAGGTACGATGTTTCTTTGTTTCGATTCCATTACAATACTACAAATTATTCTCGTAGCGTTTCAGTTGACATTCCTGTTTCATGCCACATAGTTTTTTCCATAAACAAACCAACGTATTATTTGTGAGCATTAAAGCAGCTCGAGAAAAAACAGCAAATTAAAATTATTGTAATTAAACAAATAAGCATACTGGCCTGCTCTCAATGTGACTCTACTAAAGAAGAAATAGGAAAGAACCATCATTCTACCAAAGTTCACTTCAGGGTAAAAAGCTTGAGACTGGGATAAAATTGTCATGGTTTCGCTAGATTTTAAAATCAAACGACTTTAAGAAAAATTGGATCAACGAGTGTTCATGAGTTGCCAGTTAATAATGTACCCACATCGACAATGAATTGAGCGGCAATTGCTCTTTAGGTAAATTAAAGGATTTTCATATTCACCACATAAAAAAAATACCAGCTCATTTACGACAGTGAACATAAAAGATACCTGCTCAAATCCCAGTTTTTCGGGGTTAAATAGTGACCTAGTTTCTACATGCTCTGGAACTAAATGATGTCCAATGATTGGTAGAGTATGCCATTTGTGAAGTATGCTAAGACATATGTTTTCTTTTCGCTCTGTTATAGAACCAGATGAAGAACCTATGGACAAGTTATGCAGGAAACTGCTCTAAATTAAGTTAACAAAGTGAAGCTCTTTATCTTTCCTACCACGATGAACAGATGCGTTCGAGAAAATGCTGGTTTGCAAGATATCCTGGAATTCATGTATCACAGATTCATATTTTCAATTAATTCGTTATATAGAATTATCTAAAAGCCAATCTAAAAGTCTACCTTTGTTATGTATAGGGTTTACAGTAAGACACAACGAATGAAGTAAGTTATAACGTTAAGACGTCCTGCATGTCACCAATTTCAATATCGGAGACACTAGGAATCTTCAATAATATAAATTTAACCGCCTTATTGGTAAGTAACTTACAAAATGACCTTGATCAGAGAAATGGTCTATTCTATCATCGTGAACCAAAAACTAATTACCAAATCCACTAGTATCTTTGTATTCAACGCCATTTATGAATAATGTAGACGCATCAAGGAAAAACGGAGGTGGGATGTGATTTTTCAAACAGAGCTCTTCAAGAATTGCAGAAGGTTTCCGAAAATCACGCCACCTCAAAGGACCTGTTCTGAAAATAATAAATGCCATCGGTCAGATGTACAGATTATGTTTTTATTTATAAGAGACGAATGCTGTTGTAAAAAGCTGGGAATAGTACGACTTCATTGATCCCTTAAATGATAATTGGTCATCAGAAAATAATAGGCGATCTACTGGAAGCTGCTCCGTAGGCAGTGGCTTGGCTCTGCTTCCGGCATTGCTGACATCCATGAACGACGATAACTACTCACCATCAGGTGGACCGTATGTTCGTCTGCCTACAAAGGCAATAAAAAAAAAACTTCACAGCCATTGCCATTACCACTTTGCCGGTTTGAAATGGTGACCATAATCAACTAATCGTTGCGTCAATATGAGCCTACTACTAATAAGTTATTAATAAAATCTTACAGGTTATACTCTGCGGCGAGACCAATACAAGCTCTGTGTTTTGAATAAAAACGATCTTCTAAATCAATGGAGCTTGAGCCTATCAGCTCATCAGATAACGAAGAAGAATTCTTGCTATAAACCGACACCGTGAGGAGGTAATCCTCTGGAAAGACACAGCGTAATTCGTACATCCTGTAAAAATGATTTGGGTTGTTGATTAAAAACGTGAAAATATTTACTAATGGCAGAGAATTTTGTGAGATTGCGCGATTAGAGAACATGATTTCCTATTTGCTATCTAATTATGCTCACGCCAGCCACCCTAAGTAGTCGTCGTTCCACCGAGCCTAAAGGCGTCCTGTGTTTGCCAATTTCAGATCATACTCTCCATAATGTACGCAATATACACAACATACACAATAATTACGCATCGTCACAATACTTTTAAACATAGTATTCCGATGACCACAATTCCAATGAATTTCAGACTTCAAATAAATGTCACAAGTTGTTTTTAATCTGAGCATACAAACTTAACGTCCGTATGGTTTACGTAGTCACCGAAAAATAAAAAGAACGCTGGATCTCTCATAAACCGTGAAGTCGAAGGTAATAAGGCATTTCTACTTTATAATCCGGTCATTCATTCGGTGAGGACATAGACAATTCACTACAGAACTCACTCCAGAATCACTTAAATTAAACCATTGAAGCTATTGCTAGAATAAGTCACCTAGAATATTATTTTTCACGAAACTAACGTTCCAAAAATCGGATTTGTACTACTCGCAATGGAGCTGTGTCTATTTCCGAGCTCTTTTTTACCGCAATTAACGGTTGCATAGGTACAAGTTTGACCAATAAAACTTTTGACTGATAAATTCGTAGCACTAACGAGGTACACTCGCACCAAAACCTTAGCAGCTTCATTCGAAGGATAGTTCGAAAAATAGCTGAAATTAGAAAGAAAACTGTAACATGTTTATTAATGATAAAATAGGCTATTATTATACTTACCAATCGCGTGTGTTCAGTATGGACTAGGGGGGGTTCGAATTGAAAAATGGGATAGCCACTAATAACCCATGTAAAATTTGCAGATTGTAATTTTATATTGTAGTCAGTTTGTCATTATTGTAGTAATTTTTTTTCCGTATTCGGGTTAATGATCTATGATCTTAACCGTGCAAATTTTGTACTGCATTAGATTTAGAAACAAAAACTTCTCCCATATATCGCGAGCATAACGTACGATTCTAAATTGAAACTTTATATTAACACAACGATCGGATTACATTTCAAAAATAAAAACAAACCCTTTCCCTAAATCTACGCCTCCGGTACTGACTGATTTAGTATTTTCGGGTGGTGGCCACTTGTATATAGCGATACCAGCTTTGAGATACCCACAGAATATTTGATCGTCTTTCTCCGGAATTCCTGTTTTATTTCCATTGTACAGTTTGAAAGTGGAACACCAGTCTTTGAACTTTGAAAACTCTGGTTGTTTCTCCAATTCTGCATCGTATACCTCAATTTTATGAAATAAGTCGTTAATTTTAGTTGCTAAAGAAGTATCCCATTAAGTACTGCTCTATCTAACTTTAATAAATTAGGTTAGGTCTAAAATGATCACATCTCAAAGTGAATGGCAGCATTCACGTTGTGATATCTGTAAGCTGCTTAACTAAGTGCAGTAGGATTATCTTGAGCAGAGGTTGATTATGGGACATCGTGAGGATTATCAAGACTGCCCCTTCATACTATATCCCGACCACTCTGTGTGTGTAGCGAGAGTGTAGCGACTAGGAATCTATCTACGGAGGCTCCAGATTCTGAGATTATTCTGGATTTAATTTCATCCAGGTTACCAAAAGTTAAATGTCCTTTCAGAACGTTATAAGCCAAAAGAAAGGCGTAACCTAAAAGACTACAGATTAAAAAATTACCCTAAAATTACCTTTATTTCACTGAAAAATCTGGTACTGTCCTCGGTGTAGGGTAGATCGTTATCCTGTTTATGGACAATATAAACAATTAATAAAAAGAAAAACGTACAGAATATATAAAATGTACTAAAAAGTAAATAAGTTTGATAAGCGTCTAATATCAATAAAAAAAGTAGTCTTAAAATTAATCACCAAGCTTCGTGAGAACAGCCAACGAGAAAGCGAGTCAATAAAAACGATATATAATTAAGGTGCAAAATGACAGTAATTTCAGTAATAGGACTATAAAACACATTCACCTTTTGTGATTTTAAATATTTGCTCCACCAGTTACAGACATCACGTTTAGTTATTTTTCCAAAATTAACGTTGTCACGATCATATTTATCGAACATAGGAAGTAAGGTGTATTCTTCTTCGTCGGGTTCTTTGGTGCAGAATATCCTTTTCCATTTCGAAACTTTAATTGGAGTTTGTACAGTTATGTTTTTCGTTTTACTATATATGCTCTTTTTGCAGCTCGACACGTAATTTGTTTGATTCTCCGAACTCAAGATAGAATTTACTAAAACATACATTTCAGCTATAAATTTTGGATCAGAATTAGCTTAATCTACAATATTATCCCTCACCTTCCGTTTCATTTAAAATATGACGACATCATATCTTAACATAGGTGTTGGTATAAAAAATGTACAGGTACTGAACTGGAATGTAATGGTACTGGACCTCTTGTGAGTCCGCACGGGTAGGTACCACCATCCTGCCTATGTCTACCGTGAAGCAGTAATGCGTTTCGGTTTGAAGGGTGGGGCAGCCGTTGCAACTATACTGAGACCTAAGAACTTATATCTCAAGGTGGGTGGCGCGTTTACGTTGTAAATGTCTATGGGCTCCAGTTACCATTTAACACCAGGTGGGCTGTGAGCTCGTCCACCCAACTAAGCAATAAATAAAAAAAGATTTATTGATGTTAATAATTGAATTTCAAACGAGTTATGTGTATGTGTGTTACAATAACATGCTATATTAGGTACCGTGATATAGATTCGCAGAAGAAAGTGATGCACTCCTTAATGACAGCTCTCTGTCATTATGCGACATCCAATTCACAAAGTATTTCATAGGATTTTGCACCATATTACTTCCCAAGAAAACAGTTCTACCAAAAGTGCTCGTTTCGTAAAGCTTCAAAAATAAAGGCGGACAGAACTCTTTAGTGACGATGCCTTCAAATATTTGACTAATCCTACCATTAGGAAAATTACAAATAGATTTTTCGTTAACAATAACATCGGATTTTATCGTGGTCGTTTCCATTTCAAACACCATACATGGCTTTTTAGTGATGGTGACGTTCCTTAGGCCCCACCAATAGATATCGACCCTGTAAAATACGGAAAGCTGCATGTAATACCTGTCATTACAGAAAATAACTAAACCAACAAGAGATACCCTACTTATAACTATTCGATTCGGGAATGAGATGCGTAGGAAGTTTCTCCATTTTCTCACAGTTTTGATCCAAGTCCTGTACACCAGTCGCACAATACGTTGCATCTGTTGAACCGTAAATAGTCGTCCTCATTACAGTCTCTGGGACCTTAAAAAATGGAAATTAGAAAACTATCTGTTTTACAATTTATTGTACAATAAAATATTTACGGTAGTAGTTTATTTTGTCATTTCTATCAATTCAAAAAATATAGAAATGCCCAATGAAGTGCTGCTATGACTAGAGGCGTAGACAACAAAAATAAGTGCTTAAAATATTCATCAAGGCTCTTTATCTAAAATGAATTTTACAGGCCAAGATTTACCTGAATCAACTGCACCGACATCAAAATCTGTCCTGTACATTCCATTCCATTATGAATCTTAAACCACTCAAGATTGGGCGCATATTCATAACCCTGCCTTTCATCTACAGCCGGAGTTATTTCCGATCTACCTATAAGACCAAAATTACCCTAAAATAAATAAAATCACTGATTACATACGTAATTAAAAATCCATTTTTGTGATAATAAAATTATTAAATTATTTTTAATAATAACAATAGATATAATAATTTAATAGTATATTATATAGTAAAGATAATGAAAGTAGTATTTATTATCTTACAGCTAAATCAGTATCGAAGATTTCAATTAGAAGCAGCGGTGGACTTTTCATTAACCGCTGTGGGCTCATCAAAACCATTTTGTAGATTCTCAAAACTTGATTCCAGATTGGTGACAACGTTTTTTCTTTAACCTTTACAAGTATTGATTTTTCAAATTATTAACAACAGTATATAAAAAACAAGTATTTTTAACGAGTCATTTATGAACAGGCGAGTCGCAACCTACGTTCGTTTCTTGTGTTGAATTAAGTATATTGATCCTCGCAAACGTATAGTCCATTTCAAAACGATCTGTACAGTCGAATTTGGCTTGATAAATAAATGCTCTGCATTCCAACATCTGGAATTGACGTCAATCAAATCAATAACATTGATACGAATGGAATACGCTTAGGAAGCTTGAGTGCATTTCTGCTCTGAAAAGAAACGCCTGATATTCAAAATATAGTGTCCTTAAAATTTTAAATTTATTATTTCATAAAATTCCTAAAGCAACCGTGAGACTGGTAGCATAGATGTTGAAATATATTCTTGTAAAATTTCGGAAACTATGCATATCGTTTACTCTCTTCAAACGTGAAGAGGGTTTTTTGGAATTAATTGGTAGAGACATGTTGTAAATATTAAGTGGGTCGACTTTCATTTGCTTCGAGCCCGATGTCCTGGTAGTCCAAGCTTTATCATGCATGCCTTTCATGCCAGAAGTGCTACCTCAAAATTGGCCTCTTACGAGTAACTTTTCAATTTATCCGAAGATGTAAGCTACATATTATGTGCATTTGCGGTTGGCAGATATGAGATAGCATTGTTATCAAAGCTAAGGCTTATATTGTTTTTTTTTCATTTCTTATTGCGTAGGTGACAAGCTCATGCCATACCTGGCCTAAAATGGTTATCGGAGTCCGTAGACATCACAATGCGTTTTCCACCACCCACTTAGAAACATAAGGTCGAACATTTTAGTCACAGAATCTGATCGTTACTACCAAACTCCTACTGTTACTACAAAAACCCTTCCTATTTCTAACATAAATGAATTAGGCATTCCCACTTTAAACTTTTTCTCAGTATCCATCATTATATAAAATAAATAAAAATGATTATAATGGAGAAACTTGATCGATTTTTTCTATATACGTAGGTAATTCTTACCATCGAAGTCGTCTTTATACCCATGTCATAATTCTTTACTTTCATCTTGTAGCCATTAGGTAGATGCCCATCAAAGCTTTTTATTTGTTTGAAAAGACCCATCCACATAAGCATTTCAAGCTTACCGACGATACACGAACAAGTTCCAGTAGAATCGCAATGATACGGACACTTTAAGGGCTATAAAATATAATGTAGGCTGAATTTTCGAGATAATTCTTAGTAAATGGACAAACTAGTCTACATATAGTCGCAAGAAAGATCAAGAACTTCTCCAAAAACAATCCTCCGAAAACTCGTTCATAACACATTTATGCAATTAGCGGCGTTTTGATTTAAAAACAAAATACAGTTAATGCTCAACACATCATATTACATTACATTACATAATAAATAATGTTTCAGTTTGTTTGTGTAGTATTTCCTATATGACTTTAATCTTTAAAGAAGTCTGCTCCTATGGTCACACATGTCATATAAGATATATTTCTTTGAAGATTGAGAAATTGCTATTGGTTCAAGGGCCTTATTATTAGGACGGATTGGCTCGAAGCCTCAGCTAGGAGAGGGCTTTGATAACAACTGTCTATCTAATAGAGCAGGCAGTTACTGCTGCTTCGCAAATATAACTGCTATCGGATGGGAATCACGATCCACTGAGAAGATCCTGTGAGAAACTGAGCGGGTGGGCACTATGGACTAAGTGTCACTATGGACAAAGTGTCACTATGGACTAAGTGTCATAAGAACAAATTTGGAATGCATTATGTTTTTCAAATTATTATTGCGGATAAAATAAATTTGTCTCGTTTTGCCGTCAATGGCTTCCAATAAAACAGACCTGAAAATATATCGTGTGTATACATCCACATTTTTGTCCTGCTTCTTCAGGCACGACAGAATGAATTACATCCGCTGGCGATATTTTTTTGTAAGCGACTCTCGAGCCCCCATTCAGAAGCCAGACCACAATATCTGGCCAAGGTTCTGGAATCTAGAGATTTATAGACAGGATTGTTAGATTATAAATTTAGATGAAATATTTATACATGACTTATAGAATGCTAAAACTACGGTTTTATTTATAAGACATTTTTCTAATGATTCTATCAATATAAAATGCCAATTACGCATTTCCAGTGACATTGCAAATAATACAGTGTCACTGAGCTCTCACTCTAGCAAGGGTTTGATTAACTCAAGTTCGGACCCATTGCATTAATTTATTGAGTATTTAAAAACGTTATGTTCTTATGATCATCGATGAGTACGATTTTGTTTAAAATCTGGAAAAACCTTGAATTTACATGTTAATAAAAACAATTTTGTCAAAGTTTTGTTGATTAGTCGATATTCAACAAAATTGTTTTGATTATTTTATAATTGATTGATATAAAACTGAAAAAATGAGTTTATGAATTAAATGCCAATATGTAATGCCAAGTTAAGTTGTTAAGTTATTCATGTAATTAATTATAATGAATATTATGTCAAGCGACATATCACATTGTTATCTAGCAATGTATAGGTACATAATTTATTCAAGTAATTATTTTTATATTTTATTATGGATCCGCTGATTTCTTAATTGTGCTGCGAGAAAAATTGGGCAGCAATATTGTCTTTTAAATCTGTGTGGCTGTTTGTAATCTTTCAAGGAATAAATTAATAAACTCAAAATACAATGAGTATCGTAGCTTTAAAACTGGCCTTTCCGAAATATTCTAACAATTATTAATTTTTAAATTTTTCAATCACTAGTCAACATTCTCTTATTTTTAATTGATCTTTATGCTCTTGAGCCCATATTTAACCATTAAGTAACTTTACATACTAATTATCGTCATGAATCGATATAAATTATTATCGATAACTTACATATTAAATTACATAATAATAAACGATTGCGTTAATCGTAAATTGAAAGCTTACCTTGGGTATCAAAGTTCTTAAACTTTCTGCCATTGATTTGCTCTCTGCCAGCAGTGCCTTGAATTCTTTTTTAGAACCAAAAGCATAAATTTTCTCAGTGGATCTAATCATACCAGTAGTTAAGTCACCATAAATTCTCTTGGAAATTTTAAAATTTAAGTTTACCTATATTATTAACAAACCATAAAATATAGCAATTTTAAATATATTATTAATTAGGACAAAAAACAAATGATGAATATCATTTTTAAATACAAAGCCGCTCGAATGATGGTCACGTTGATATATGAATTATGTATGTCAAATGAGTCAATTGCTAGTTTATTGTAGTGCTATCTTACGACAGTATTGAAAATACTTTTGAAAAAAGTAACAAAATCTAAACAACTTTTTTCTTTTTTCTTTCTATTGGCCTTGTAGGCAGACGAGCATAAGAGCCACCTGATGGTGAGTGGTTACCGTCGCCCATGGACTTCAGCAATGCCAGGGGCAGAGCCAAGCCACTGCCTACCGCTACCTGCTTATTTACATAAAATCTGAAAATAGTGTAACGCATCTGATATTCTACTAAGACACTCAAGTCAGAATGCCCATCGTCGTAATTTTCCCGAGTTTCCTCAAAACCTACATACCAATAATACCCTTTACAATTACTGTGACGTACAATAGCATCCTCCTGTAACTTCAGAAGTTTCTGATCCAACTCTGTCTTATGTTCACAAGAACTTTCTTTCACTGTCTCTAGAAAATGTTTAAGTCCTCCAACTAATTTATCTAGAGCATTATTGAGTTCACATATCAATTCTTGTGGATTTGACGATTTCATTGTTTTATATCTTTTTTCAATTTGAGACAAACTATATTCCTGTAAAGTCAATAGTAATTCGATATTAGGGATACTTTCAAATGAACATCAACTTTCGATATTATTTCAAATTTTAATTTACATATTTTTTATAACTAGAGGTCCCGCAGTAGTCGAAATTCGACTATAATTAATTGGAATTTTAAGTTTGTACACTATTATGATTGTATTTTATACTTCTATAATCACAAATCTCGCCAAGGCTACTCTATAAAAAATATTAATAAAGACAAACAATATTTAATCTATTCTCAATTTGACCACAGACGCCAAGAACAAAAGTTTGACAATAAATAGTATGCATGCGTGTGTGCGTCAAATACATGGTACGTAGTGTGTGTAATGTTTTCTTAATTGATTTTATATATCTTTTATGCATTCTTTTAAAAAAATATTTGCATTGTGCACTTCTTCTCTATATTCTCTATAAATGTGAAAAATTTCACAATTCTCCGTCCGCGCAATTTTCGTAAAAAGGGATACAAAGTTTTTGCTTCACGTATTAATATATAGAGATAAGGCCATTGTTTATTAGAATAAATTTGTACTAGTTTTGTTATTGTATTTTTGTGAACCAAACAAGACAACGCAATTTGACATTACTTTAGGAATACCTAGTGGTATCCAAAACCAGACAGCTGTAATATTGAAGTGGAAATGGCACAATTTCCCCGTGAGATATAGGTTCAAAGTTGAAACTAATTTTACCCTTCCTAAAAAATCAATACCATCAATAATATCCAATCCTATAATTCTCATATATAATTGCTCTTACATCATATACAATCCTATGTTTTTTTATTGCTTAGATGGGTGGACGAGCTCACAGCCCGCCTGATGTTAAGTGGTTACTAGAGCCCATAGACAACTAAAAAGTAAATGCGCCACCCACCTTGAGATATAAGTTCTAAGGTCTCTCAGTATAGTTACAACGGCTGCCCCACCCTTCAAACCGAAACGCATTACTGCTTCACGGCAGAAATAGGCATAGTGGTGGTACCTACCCGTGCGGACTCACAAAAGATTAGTATTCTTCAATTTCCTAAACGAAAATAAATACCAGGTCCTTGATGATTTCTTTAATGACATTATTTCTGTACATATTGGATCTCAAGTCAGGAAGTCGAGTGGCTAGCTGTAAAACTGGAAATGCGTTCGAAAAATCCAAATGTCCATAAACTGGACTAGTTTTGATTACATCTAAAGGTCCTGTGTAGTGGAGTTTTCTAGATCCTTTTAACAAAAAAACAAAAATCATTAGAGCAATCAACTAAAAAAAAAACCCGTAAAGAAATTCAACTTACGAATCTCATTCCACAAAGTCTCAAATTCTGAAACAAACAAAACTATCAATGAATATCAGTTGACATTAAATTGATATTATTTATATTGAACCTAAATAATAACCTCGATCTCCCGGACTGCTTGTAGAAAAGTCTCCAACGGTAATAGCAACACCACAATACTTCCCAACAATTCGACGATCAAGTAGTGATACTTCAAATAATGGACACATTACACAGAATTCTTCAATAGGCCATAAGTTTTCCTTAGAATTTGGGAATGTCATATTTAAATAAATAAATAAAAAAAATAAAAAATAAAAATAAAAATAAAATAAAAAAGCCTTTTATTTCTTGCTTTTCATACCAAAAAAAAATTTACACTATTAATATGCATGCAAAATCATTCACATTTTTAAATTTATTATCCAATATTCAAAATAATTAACGAAATAATTTTTAATTGAATCTTGATTATGATTTTTTGATTATGTACATGTTATGAGTGATAAGAAGTATTGAATTGTGTTCTTATTTTAAGAAATAATATACATAACATTTGGAATAATTTTTACATTGAAAAGTACTAAATATTGATTTAATTGGTTAAATTAGTCAGGGTTTATTTATGTTAGCAAGAACCCTCTCAATGAAAGGTCATATTTAATAAGAGTTAAATTAAATTATAAAATCTATATATCTATATATATAAAAATGAATTGCTGTTCGTTAGTCTCGCTAAAACTCGAAAACGGCTGGACTGATTTGGCTAATTTTGGTCTTGAATTATTTGTGGAAGTCCAGAGAAGGTTTAAAAGGTAGATAAATATGAAAATGCTCGGAATTAAATAAAAATAACAATTTTGTTTTTCCTTTGATGTGTCCCCCGTCGGACGAATTCCTTTTGTTTGTTTTAAGTTTATTTTATACAAATTTTAGGTCTTTTATTTATCGATTAAGGCACTACGAAGTCTGCCGGGTCAGCTGGTATTATATTACATTACTGTAATACATTACAATGGTAAATATAATATATTAATTTACTTGCTCTCAAATTGATATATGCCAATGCGTTAATAAAGAAAAAGTAATTCGTACCAGCTTCAAGTTTGCCACTGGCTCTACAATTTTACTCTTCACGGGTTTCTCGTAATATGGTACAGTCGTTTTTAATGAAACCAGTAAGGAACCTCTGTAGAAGGGGCTATCGTTCGTGGTGGCCACGGTTTGTGTTGATAAATCGTCGTACATTGGCAACAAGGACGGTCCAAACGTGGGCAAAAACCCTGTAAATAGGGTCTAGTGATATTTGACTAATCAAAAAACGCTACTTTGTTTTCTTCTCTTATCTATACTAATATATAAATCTACAGTGGTTTTTACGGATGTTCCGTTATAACTACTGAACCATGCACCCGATTGACTTGAAACTTAGTATCCATGTAGAAAATACATGTACTTAATGGATAGGCTCATATTTATATGAGTGTTGGACTCCCTACACCATTTGCGGGGGCGTTAATGATGAGAATCTTTGTGGGGGTGAGAAATAATTTAAATGCTCATCAAAGCAGTCGGGTACAGCTAGTGTATTATAAACACATTATAAGCGTCATAATAAAAAGGTTACATTTTTAAATACCATTCAGTCAGCAATAGTTAATTTGGGCAGATCGCTTTAGCTGTGTCTCGTATTAAACTGGTCATTAAAACCTGATAGGGATTCTACAACACTCACAGACCTGATTACGAAGTCTCAATTGTATTGGTCTATCGAACGGGAATATACGACTACCCTGCTCTCTACTGACGGCTATCTTCAACACCTCATAAACTATCAGAAAACGCAGGGGAAAGAACTATACTGAGATGACCCTCTAAGTCAAGTATTGTTTAAGAGCTTCTTGCCTTTTAGCCTTATCATATTATACTGAAAAAAGAAACAAAGGATTTTGGTATGAAAATAATAGTTAAATCACCTTTTTCACCGTCGTGGGATAACAATCGCAAATTCAATGACGTCCTAGCTATAACTTTGAGGCAACTCTCAGCTGAATAAACTTCAAAGTATATGATTTGACACATGTTCGGAAACATTTCAACTATGCTGATTCGTTCATTATATACTGGACAATGTGTGCGTTGCTGTACTGCTGTTCTTGCCTATATTAGTAATAATTTAAAATGCGTCAGAAGCATATATTATACATTTACATATTTAATACTCAACAGTTTTATTTTCTAAGACAGAAGACTCTATCTCTTCACTTTTTCAGTGGAATATATTCGCCGAAAAAATCCTTTAGATACTTGACATTTTAAAGGTACTTTTCGTTTTTTTTATTAGCTTCATCTCATTTGATAAACTTAACTTTATTTGCTAAGTAAATCACAAATTTGCTACAGCATTTTAATGCCAATTTATTTCATTAATCAAAATTCACGAGTTACAAGAAAAAGTTCACAAACCCCAATACCGCAAAACGATATCCTGACATATGCACTAGGTGGTTTTCCGAATCGCTTATCGCCACCGGTAGTAGTAGTAGCGGGAAGACCGAAAGCTCCATGAATCGTAATTGAAAAATTAGCTCGCTGCTGTTCCGAACCTGACGGCAACAGGAGATTGCTAAAAGAAAACGTTCAATATCATTCCTGTTATCGTGTTCGTTTTATTTTAAAGCTTGCAAATCAACAACTGCTGCGAACTAGTCCTCTTTTCTTTCTCCATTTGGATCTGGACTTAAGCACAGTCTCAGGTTGTTGGCATGTTCAATCGTCTCCGCTCTATATCAGCAGTTTTCCACTACATCACCATCTGTTATTTCTAAATCGAGATATTAAATTGAAAATTCGATTATCTAACTAACACAAGCTAAATTTAT